AGACAGGTGGACTTCAACTCCCAGAATTCTGGGAGTTGAAGTCCACCCGTCTTAAAGTTGCTGAGGTTGAGGAACCCTGCTGTATATCATCCATATGTCAACCAGCTATTTTGCTCCTCCCCAGAGCTGTACAGATTATGTCTGCTTTCACCAGAAGTAAACTGCATTGGAATAGATCATAATGTTTACATTTAATATATGAACATTATGAAATTACATGCATTTATATCAGGTAATGGGTTAATCCTTATTCAGCCATATTCTTTTCTGTAGAACAAATTAATTAAGTTATCCATATTACCTGCAGACTGATTGCATGCACTATTGTACTGACCAGAAGTTCATTCTGGTAGTTTCAAGAACAGCTTGAAGCATCAGTGGTTGTCACTTCTTCAGGCAGAATCAATACAATAGCATCTCTTGCTGAAGGCTAATTTAATTGTGCTTGGATTGGAACAATTTTTTAATTGCTCTTCCTTTTAATAACAAAATGATGTAAAACTATCTTGGCAAACATAAAATTACTATATTGACAGAAAGATTTCCTAGTTAAGTAAACTTAAGTTTTAATTAACTTCATACCAGTATTTACCAAAGCAGATTTTTTTTCCAGTTTGACTGGACATGTTTAGAAGTTAAATCCTGAAATAACTATTGAAATCTTATTTTGCATTTAATCTTGGTGAGCTGCTCTTCTTACATTGGCAGCTTGGTTTGAATATGTCAGCTAGACCTCACAAAAGGAAATAGACACATGCTGTGAGAAGCCGGTAATTTTATTGGGTTCCTCTACCTCTAAAACTCTGTTATTCAGACAGAGTCATCACAGTCTGGTTTCTGAACTTCTTGTCTGTAGAGAAATCGGGGCAAACATTTTTATGTGGCTCTATGGTGTCTGCTCACAACTCAAAGAATTTATATACATAAGGATAATTAGTGCAGTCCATTAGGACATAATAACCGTCAGCATGGACAAAAAACAGATCAGAATCATGGATTCAAAAGCAGACATAAAAGTACTAGCCAGCTGTATTACACAAGAAGGCAAAGTGAATTGAATACACTTTTACTCAGTGTTTCCTCTGAGTCTACTAATAGAAGGGCATTTTAACTCCAAACTTTCACTATTTTCTTCCAAACCCTACACAAACAATATGAAGAAAAAATGACTGGACAAGATTTAAAGCTTACTATGAATTCATTCAAAAGGAAATAAGGTTTAGGCTTCTGTAGTTTTAAAAGCTATAAATAAATATCATTAAAAATATGTGGTTGTCTACAACATGTTCCGCAAACTGGTACCCAGTTTACATCATGCCAGAGCCAGAATCAGGTCAGAAAAATCTTTGCCAAAACATTTGGATATCAGCAGCTTCCAAGAATTGATATAGTCAGTAAACTAATTGGTAATTTTAACAAAGCTATTATTAATCAAACCCAGATAAGCAGGAACCAGCACCAGATAACAGAATGACAGTCAAAGAGGAAACAATATCACCAATTAAGACATCCTGCCCAAACTCTCACAAGATTGATAGGACAAACTCTACTGTTAAATAGTGAATTCTGAATGGGCAAAACACGTAAAAGAAACGTCTTTCAATTTTTGGCAGCTTTTGGTAACAATGACCATGGTATCCTTATGGACCATGTTAGGGAGTGGTGGGTTGGAAACATGATGCTTAAGTGCAGGGTCTAGATCAGTGTTGTCCAACATTGGCCACTTTAAGATGAGTGGACTTCAACTCCCAGAATTCTGGGAGTTGAAGTCCAC